CAAGTAAATCATGGAAAAGAGTAGGATACACTTTACTCGTGTGCTCAAGTAAAGCATGGAAAAGAGTAGGATACACTTTACTCGTGTGCTCAAGTAAAGCATGGAAAAGAGTAGGATACACTTTACTCGTGTGCTCAAGTAAAGCATGGAAAAGAGTAGGATACACTTGTGTGCTCAAGTAAAGAATGGAAAACAGTAGGATACACTTTATTTGTGTGCTCAAAGTATGGAAAACAGTAGGATACAATTTACTTGTGTGCTCAAGTAAAGCATGGAAAACAGTAGGATACAATTTTCTTGTGTGCTCAAGTAAAGCATGGAAAACAGTAGGATACAATTTACTTGTGTGCTCAAGTAAAGCATGAAAAAGAGAGTAGGATACACTTAATTTGTGTGCTCAAGTAAAGCATGGAAAAGAGAGTAGGATACACTTAATTTGTGTGCTCAAATAAAGCATAGAAAAGAGTAGGATACACTTTACTTGTGTGCTCAAGTAAAGCATAGAAAAGAGTAGGATACACTTTACTTGTGTGCTCAAGTAAGGCATGGAAAAGAGTAGGATACACTTTACTTGTGTGCTCAAGTAAGGCATGGAAAAGAGTAGGATACACTTTACGTGTGTGCTCAAGTAAAGCATGGAAAAGAATCACACAGTAAGATGAAATGAAGTTTATCACCAGCCTCATCTTTTCAAAAGTAATTTAAGCTAGTCTTGAAAATACTCATACAAGGCTGTCAAAATCAGATTTTTGGCCAACTATAAGTTATACGGTATTTTTATTCTGGAGATTTTACTTTTCTTTATGTTTCTAAAAATCTCCATGAAGCAATAATCAAACGCATGACACTTTAGAAATAGAATCTATCGAAAACTTGGCTGGGGGATCAGGGGCAGCACCCCAGTTAAAGTGCTAATTTTAAGCAATTCTTTGACAAGTAAAGTAGTAAATTTTCATCTTTTCAGACTTTCACAGTCACATTTCTCTGTAACTATTCTCATCAAAACTTCTTTATAATTGGTATGTCAATGTTTTAAAGCAATAAATCTTAGCACGCAACAATATCCATCTTAGAACGTGCACAAATCAAATGCTACTGTACATGTTCATGTGATTTCTGCACTTGATGTTGTGGTCTGGTAATAATTATTCAGTTTTCACTCTCATGAAAACTTGGTATGTTTTATCTTTTAGAGGGAATTTTTTTTTTTTTTACAGTCACAGAAATTCATTAAAGTATGTCATGACATACTGTTCTTTAATGATGTATTTTGTATTTCTAACATCTTCCAATTAAAAAGTGGAAGTAACACTCCATAAAAATATTGCTTATTATAAAGTGTACTTGCATGAAAAATTTAAAACTTTATAAACAAAGAGGAACACGGTATTTTGTCTATTTAATAGCAAAAATCTTTCTAAGAGTTTCTACAGACAGACTAAAGATACTAGCTCTAATAATGCTGGATCTGTAAGTCAAGTAACAATTTTTAACCATATGTTATTTTCTGGTATGTGGACATTAGTGACAAGTGGGCAAGTTGGTCTAAATGGACCAACAGGCCTTTGTTGTCCTTAAATTTGTGAATGTGCTATTTAACAATTTATCCATTCTGCTTGATAAAAAAAAAATTAACTGTACACAAATATTTATTGTTCTGCATACACAGCACTAAATTTCAAAAGTGAAGGCACCTGTTTGACAAAATTGATGCATTTTAATACTCAAGTAAGCCTAAAGAACTGCTCTACTACACTAGACCCATAACATTTAACACAGATAATTATACTTTACATATTATTTTGTTTTACTGGAATTAACAATATGTTTCATTTTACCGAACAGTGAGCAATGAATGACAAGTTGCACAGTATTTAACAGTATTTCCTGCACAAAATTTAATCATTTTATTTGAAATTTCATTATCAAAAACTGTCTAATAATCTTTAAACAAAAACTAATCTAGTTACATTTATAATTAAATGGAACATCAGCTCAAACCTTTTTTACCCACAAAAAAAAAGTTTAAATCACCATTTATTTTTCAAACTTACTATACAGGTTGCAGTGGAAACATTAGTGGTTGCAGTGGAGTCACTCTGTCTGCTTTCTTCAGCTTCGGGTCTCGAATCTTGCTCAACTTCAGCATCTGTCTGCATGGGAGAATCACTTGCACTGCCATTTCCATTAGTTCCACTCTTTAGATTGTAGCAGACAGAGAAGAAGAAAAGGTTTATTCTTTAAAATTATAACAAATGATTAAAGACAACTCTTACTATTTACACAATTAAAACTTTATTGAAGCTGGAAGACTTCCACTTTAAAACAACACTCTACAAGTACCAGTTTCAACATGATCTACGTCATCTTCAGGAGTTACTTACAAGCCATACTTTATACTTTTACTCCTTTTTGTATTACTTCACTATTATTTACATATTTCCTTGGTCTACTTTATCTCATAATTACTATAATATATCTCTCCATATATCAACATATTGACTTGCTGGTCCTTCATCTCTATTTAATACTTCTTTTTGTTTTTATATTTCATTATTTCTAATGTTTCTCTATTATTTAATGCTATAATACTACGAGGGCCAAAATTAAAGTTTTTTTCCCGTAATATTGTGTGTTGGTTAGTTTTTAATGTTCGGCTAAAGCTAAAGTTTCTGTTTTATTATTTGTTATATAACCTTTATGTTCTTGCAATCTGCATTTTAAATTTCTTTTTGTTTGACCAATATAAATTCCTCCACATTCACATTCTGTCTTGTAAATACCAGTTTTATCTGTTAATTATATTTTATCTTTAGTATTCCCTATCATGTCTTTTATCTTATTTATTGGCTTGAAGATAGGATAAAAATTCTGATGCTTTTTAAATACTTTAAATAATTGACTTGTTAAACCTGGAACATAAGGTAAACTTAAAGTTTCTTTTTTTTTCACAAATATATCTTAATGTAGTATCTTTAACTGTGCTTACATCTTTGTTAAATTTTTTTAAGTGCTTTGTCTACTATATTTGGTTCAAATCCTCTATCAGTAGCTATGTACTTAATTTATAAAGATTCGTTATTTAAATCTTCCTGTTTTGAACATATTTTAAAGCTCTATAAACATATGTGTAAGATGGAGAGACTTTTGTATTTTTATATGACGATGTATTGATACAATCGTATCACAGCTTCACGATACGATACTGATATCGTATCGCCACACCTTTAAAAAACATGTGTTTAGATGGAGGAAGTAGCTTTCGTGCAGGATAAACTGGAGAGTTTAACAAGTCAGCAAGGTTGGCATTGTGAGTTTGAAAACAGAGTGTGTTATATTTGACACGAAGTTACCGACGATGATGAACAATGCTGGGAAAGAAGATGCGATCATACAACTCGTGGGTTGGACTGGATAGCTTGATTTCAAAGATCAGACAGAGGGGATGTCAATGTCAATCTAGGACAATACGTCTTTCGTAAAAAGAAGAATAAGAAATTGATATCGATGTGATATAACCATTGATAATGCAAACAAAAGTTTATTTGAAACACTGCTTATACACGCAATATATTTATATGTATATAACACCAAAAGTTGACGAAGCATTAGAAACCAATAGCCCTCTTGAAATTGGCTATAAAAATCATGTAAACTGTCAATGTGTTTTCCCCACCTTTCTCATAATTTGTCAATTTCCGATGCAGAATCAGAAGTGTTTTTGTAAATAGTATTTCAGTGAAACTTCTGTTTTTCATCATTTAGCCCAACTGACAAGTTCTGGTATTGAACTAAGGACCTTTTGAGCAGTAACTTCTGAGAGATAAAAGATAGATCTGATATGCTATTTTACACACCTCTGATTTTGAATCTAAACTGGAAAAGTTGATAGGAACGTGAAAAAAAAATCAAGAGTTTACGTGATTTTTTGTTATCACATATTTAAGCATATTTCTCAATTTACAAATAGTAAAATCTGAAAAGTCGATGATAATTTTTTTTTGCTTAAATTGCAAAGTTATACTTGACCCATACGTTTGTGTTTCTTATGGCGCCATGGATTAATCTGTTTTGGGTGTCCTTTTAGGGTAATTAGACGGATAGTGTATTTATGAATGTGCTGAGATAAATCACCACAGGTGAACATTGATCATACTCACACATTAGGATGTATGATAAAGACGAATCTAAGGTAAGAAAAAAAGAATGACTTGTTATTCAGAAACATAAACCAAAGATCAATAAATATTCCGAAATTTCTCTCAGCCTGCTTAATGAGCAAATCCAGATCCAACTGGTTATTTGTTTGTTTTCAACAGCGTTTTTGTCGAAGTTTATGGGTACTTGATGATGTTTTAACCTAGCGAAACGTTGGGTTGTGATAATGTTTCAAATTTTATCAGTTGTAAACAGTAGTCTTAAATTTGTAATTAGAATAGCTGTGGCAACAAAATTATCATATATGGGCATTGCACAGAAAAAACACGCCAGTGAATAATGTTAAAGGTAATTTTACTTAAGCTTTTTTGATATTATAAATATGACTTATTAGATATCATATTATAAGCATTTTCAAAGTTTTGGTTACCTTGTGATGTCAAAGAAATGTAAAGATATCACACTGATTTTTTTATTATTATCTATGACGGTTGTAAGACAGCTATTTTATGACAGATGTCACTTTTAGTTACAGACCGTAACTAAAAATAAGCGTGACTAGACTTACAAGGTATAGAATATGTACGTTGAATTCATATTTGTACTACCTAGTCCTACCATTTTCACCATTAAGTATAAAAAAGATGATGCATCAACACTATCAATTTCCTTAACAATCTTAAACACCTCAATTGGATCCTCTCTAATTCTTTTCAAACTCAAGAGAAAATTGTTTTAGAGATCTTAACCAACTCTTGTGTGATAACCTTTTAATGTAGATTAATACTTCTTTGGTGCATATCTAATTTCTTAATAACGTGTCAGTTTTCCTAGTCCACTGCACTGTTCTTGATGTGATCCAATTGATTGGTTGTAAAATTTGAGTTGGATTGTCTGATGAATGGACAACTTTCTTTATGGGACTTTGCTTTTACTATAGTATTGACTTAAGCAAGTACTAAAGGTGCACCTTCACACTAAATCATTAGATTTCCTAGTGTATTGTCATGGGGCCAAAAAGATGTTTTGGACTGGTTCAAAATCTCTACCTCTACACCTCAACATCTAGTTCATAAATTGCATGGAGAAGCAGCAATGTGACTCCTGTTCACATTACATTTTGTGTTTTGGCTTCTACTGATATTTTCTTGGTATGTTGTAGAGCCAATATTTCCTGTCTCCCCAGGATTGACAACTACTTACCTGCTTCCTCATGTGCTACTTCCATTTTCAACATGGAGATTGCAGCTTAAAATTATAGTACAGGTGCAGTGTGATATTTCATATTAATGTTTTAGTAGTTAAATATAGTTAAAGAAATATTAACAGTTACTAAAATTGTTCTCACTCTCTTGCAAATGTCATTGAGTTAATTGCGGTTAAATGTAACCATATAAGTTTAAGTACAACATGTCACTTAGAAGCCATATTATGTGATTGGCCTAGAAAATGTGTTGGTAGAGAGCATAAGACGTGATTACACCCTCAATATTTTCACACGTGTTTTTCACAAATTTCCGGATAACAAATAATGGATTAAAAATGAGAAAGAGTAATAAAAAGTTTCTTATTCTTGACATGAGCAAGAGATACAGCTTAAGGTCAAAGTAGTAATGGCAAATGTCTTTTGAGTTACACTTTATTACTAAAATGTTAATTTTGAGAATATTTAACATTTTTACAAAGTTGTGAAGCTTAACCAAAATCTCGCACAGTAGTCCAAGTATTTTAAATAACATAAATTATATGTCCTACTGGAACTTGAACAAGATACAGGTATTGTTGCTTGTATCAATATGGAAATCTATAAAATCAGAGGAAGGTAATGGTGAATCAGCATAATTCTGTCATTCTAAATGGCTACTTCCATTCATCTTACTATCCCATGTACAATAAAGATTAGTTATTTAACTCACTTATTTTTACTTTTATGTTAAATATTATAAATTAATGTAAACTCTAATTATAATAAAAACAGAAATAAATGTAAGTGCATCTTAATGTAATTGAAACCAGTGTTGGACCCAAAACATACCAGGAAAGTTAAGGAAATTGTATTGGTATAGCTATTTTTCTGGTGGACTAATATGTATGTTTGTAAAAAATAAAAAAATATACTTGCACTGGCAGAGATGTAAATGTTAATAAAACAAAAATTATTTTTAGGTAAAGTTTTTATATATATATGTAGTGCAGATTTATATATGCTTTCAAGGTATGTGTTAGAAAATTGTAAAGCTTGCCATACTGTTAGTGCATAAAGAGCTACTGTTGGTGGCTCATGAAAATTTTGAGAACATACATGTACGTAAATTTGTGAAACTAGTAATTGTTGTTTCCAGTTTTCATTCTTATGTGCCATATGAGAATCAAATCCCAAGTATCAGTGATCTGTTTTACCTCATTTTTCCCAAAACATTTCAGAAACTTATGTTTTTTCAGATCATGTACGTATCTTGTGAATTCACTTTAAAAAAAATTGGATATTATTCAGAGTTTGGTTATCTGTTGAAGGTGTTTCTGTTTAGAACTGAGATGATGTTAACTCATCTTTGCAGTTCTTTTGTTTTTCTAATCTTGACAATATTAATTCCAAGCATTATTAATTCATTGTTTATTTGAGGCTCAATTTATTCAAAATTATTATTTTCTTAAGCTAGTGTAGTGATTCCCAACCTGTGGTCCCCGGACCCCTGGGGTTCTCCGAAGATAATACCATCTCATTAAACAAGTAAGTTTTTTAATTCTGATGTTCTTTAAATTGCACACTCAGTTATATATGTCTTTTATTTGATAGTGAAAAAAGGAAAAACAAGTTAATTATTAGTAAGAAAAACAGTTTGTTGGGTAGATAGAATCTTTCAAAAAACATGGGGTCCATGGGGGAAAAAATAATAATAAAAGGGGGTCCTTGGTAGTGAAAAGGTTGGGAACCGCTGAGCTAGTGTATAAAAGTTGTGTGATGCTGAAAGTTATTTATTTTTTTTGAAGTATGTGGATACCTTGGATGTTTTACAACCCATTAGCAGATTATAGGATGTGGCAATTATAAGAAGCATTAAGGGGAAGAAATGTGAACTTGGAAGACTTACATGTGTGCCATCTAGCTAATTTTAGGTTGCTAGCCTCAGAACAACTGTATTGTTCACCAATATCCCTAAAAAATTTGTTTGGAGCTTTAAGGAATGAAACAGATCATAGTTAGTTGTAGAATTCAAACTATGAAATATTGGTCTGAAGAACCATTAAATAGTTTGATGGATTGAGGTATTGAGGCTGTCTAAACTAAGAAAGAAATGTTTTTCAAGGTTTTTATCCAAATGAAAAATGAAAGTGTATTAGATAACAAATAGTTAATGAAAAACCTTAAGCTGTACATCAGATAGTGTTAATTTATGTTGGGAAGATTCAAAAATTATGCTGAGCAGAATATTGTAATGGACTGAAACATCCACTACAACTAGGGTCAAACAAAAAACAAATTTATTAAACTTTGACAACCACAGAAATCCAAAATAAAACTTTCAAACAGTTGGAATATATGGTTTATCACTTACCAAAAAACACAGTTAATAAATTTGTTTTTTTTTTAGCTCAACCCAGGTTGTAGCAGCTGTTTGTTTTAGTCAATTACAGTTAATAAATTTGTTTTTTTTTTGCTCAACCCAGGTTGTAGCAGCTGTTTGTTTTAGTCCATTACAGTTAATAAATTTGTTTTTTTTTTGCTCAACCCAGGTTGTAGCAGCTGTTTGTTTTAGTCCATTACAGTATGAAAGGTTGAGCTTTCAAAAATACACTTAGCAACTTCAAAAGTAAAACATTCAGAATTATTTTATTTATAGATAAAAGACATATCAATCAAGTCAAAATTGCATAACACACAAGAGCAGATGTTTAAAAAGTTGTTCGAATGTCGATTATTAGGCTGGATTCAAAGTTGGGAGCTGCCTTAGTAAGTTGATTCAACAGTGGTAAAGTTTGGATTCAATGATATATTATTTTATGTTAAAATTGTGTTAATGTTACTTAATTAGTGAAAATCTTCTAAGGTGTTTATTTTTAGGTACTTAGTTATCTGTAACACCTGAAAAATTGTAGTTAGTGTCACCTCATAAAGGAATAGTACACCTGACAGGCTCATAGTTTCACTGCTAACAAACAAAATAATCATATATAGGTTAATTAATCAATTTTATTTTCTACATTTCACTCAGTGAAATATCTGTATTGAATGCTGTCATACACATCAATGAAAAGCAATTGTGTTTTAAGTTTTCTGTTCTTTAGAGTACTGACTAGTGCTAAGACTTGTATAGTTTTCAGTCAACATAAAAATTGTGTTTTTAGGTAGTTATGTGATAGTATGATATTTAACTATAAATGTTATATTAAACATTCATATAAAAACATTGTTACTTGCTACTAGACATGAACACAATTTTCTCCTAGACAATCAGGTGTCAGATATGTGTACAATATGTGTTTCATAATTTTCATAATTAACTCCTTGAAATGTCTTCTGTAGTTCACTGAAATAACTTGGATTTTTGTGGCATAAAAAAGCTTTTGGCTGTAGTTTTTAAGAAGTTGTATCTCTCATCTTGTCAGTGACTTGTTTCTTTCTGCCCTTCATATTCAGCTCTGCATTGACTTTACACTGTATGGAAGTTTTACCATTAGAGATACAGGAACTCACTGAAAAATTCAGTTGAGGTTTCGTTGACCACCTTTGAAGCTTTCTGTTTCTGTACACTTAAATGCTTTCCTAAGACTTGCATCAACCACTCGCTATTGCACAGTTACTGGTTCTTTCACATGTCCAAACAGTTTTTGAAAATATCCCTCTTGTGTTCCTTTCTGAGAATTTTCATATTTATGTCTCTTTCAAGATATTATACAGATGTAGTAAAGCATTACTGACTGATCGGCACATTTTCCCTTTAGTTTTTCTATGGTCTTTCCATAAGTGTATCATTCCAAAACTTTTTTATTTACATTAGAATCTCCATCTGTGATAAATTAAAGAATCTAACTACGTGCATTTTTTTGTTTAATTGAAATCACCCCATGACTATGTTACCCACTTTCATGTCTGTCAGTAGTCCGTGTCTGTTTCTCCAGAATTAGTATTCCTGATGATTTTCTCTACATTTTATTAAGTGCAAAATGGAAACACTTGGAAATTAATTTGTAACTTCTAGAAAAACAATTTTCTGTGTTATTCCTCGACAATCATTACATACCCCAAGTTGGTCTTTTAATGGTAACCATAGTTTCTCAGAACATCTCCAAACACCTATGATGATAACAAGAAGTAGACCACCATTTTTAAATATTAAAAATTTCAG